AAGTGTCATTACACCATCAAGACTAAAACCTTTCAGTGACACTTTAATGTCATGGTAGACACTATTCGTGACGCTATCAAGTGCCATTAAAGAAGACTTGCAATCTAAAAAATGCCACGATATGGATTTTTAATGACGTTTATTATGCCACAATTGATATTTATAACACCTTCATAAATGTCACTAAATCCAATTCATTTGTGCCATTAAATAAATATAAGTGCCTTTGGAACTTATTTTAGTGACACTTTGCAAAGCTACTATCACTACTATAAAATGCCACTTATATATTTTTTTCATTGACACTTTTAAAAGCTACAATTATGCATGCGTAAATACCTATAAAATTTGAATCAATTTTATAAACAATTAAATATTAATTGCCACATCATATATTAATTTGACATCCATTCATCCTGTAATATTTTCATAATAATAAACAAATATTACCACCATAAGATCATCACATCAAAAATAAAAAAAATTCACGCCACAATCAATTATTTATTATTAAAATATAAATTTATTTATATTGCAAAAAATATCCCTTGCCAAAATTATTAAATATTCTACCACACTAACAAAGTTCAAGCAAAAACAATTTAAAACAAAATTATTCTGACCATAAGTTCTGAAAAGCCATAGTGATATGCATATTCCGGAGAGAAAAATTATCAAAAAAAAAATTAGTTCCCAAATTCTCGACCTCACTTGTATAAATATTCTCGGCTAGCATCCATAACTTGTGAAATCTGCATCCAAAAGATAAACATATGAAGGTAATTGAAACTATATTAAGTTAATATAAATTTGTTAATAAAATTAGTATTTACGAAAGAAATATACCACAAATGGAGCAGGCCAAGCAACATGAGCTCCAATAGCTTGTCCAATTGTTTTGACAAGTCCATATGATCGGATCAAGCTCTCATTAGGTTTGATTGGCACTTGAACATGTACCTCCCAATAGTCAGGTCCTAGTTCTTCCCCTTCTACTTCTTTAGATGCGTCTGTGCTTTTAAGTACTCCGATTGCAACTGTTTCTGTTGGCCTAATGATACTTTTTAGAACAACTATATCTCCCACCTGTAAATCAAGATTTAACTACTTAAGTAATTGTATATTTAAAATTAATAAATAATATTTTAAAAAAAACTAGTACAAAGTGCTAGAGTGAAGATGATCACAACTGAAAGTGATATGGATTTCTCTAGTAGATAAGCAAGCCAAATGCTTTAATCACTTAATTGGTTCACTACACTACAACAAATTATATAAAAGTAACAACCGTAAAGCTTTAGACCATATCAAACAATAGCTTAAAAAATCAATAACAATCAAAAGCACCAATCAACGACAATCAAAACCATGTCCATTATCAATATTAGGATCACCTAACCTCAACGATGTAAATCAAATGTAATTGTGAAACATGACAATCAACTAATTACTTTCAAGCAATATTTTGAGAGAATCAGAAAGAGCCCATGCGGTAATAAATGATGGAGACATGTCTTGTTAAAGTTTTAGACGAAAATTAAATTAATTTTTAAAAAAAAAATAACACAAACTTCGTCATGTCATGATTTAGACTATATAGCACATTTTGTCTAGATTTAAATAATGAAATTTATGTCCGCAATATTCATTCCTTGGTCAATTGTAAAATAAATGTTGCATGCTATTCTAAAATAAAGTTGGAAGTAATGTGATATATATGATTAGCTCTTAGTAGGTACCTGAGTAAGAGAAGTATCTTGTATCGATGATAAAGACCATGCTTGATGTCAAGCTGCCATGTCAAGAGGAGTAGAAGTTGTTGTGGCCTAACCAAATTTGAACTATTTAATTTTACAAACACACACACATAGATATATGTATGCATATATAAGTGTATGAAAACATTAATAACTTATAAATTCTATTAAAAAAATTACCTGATTAGATGTGTTTGTCAAGTTATTCGGAGCATGCTGAACATGGGAAACTTTGGACCTTAGCTCCGAATTTTCAACTTCCATAACATCCATTGTTGTGTCTTGGTTTGTTTATGACCAGATGTATCTCTCCATAAATTAGACGGGGAGATACCTAATCCATACATGCGAACTCGTCCATGTTTTTCTTTACCCATCACTTGTCCAAATGCATCATTTGGGCCCTTATTTGACAAATTTGCATTTAAGGTTGTCCTCTCATTCATTTCATCTTGTAAGGTTGCAAAAAACATAACTTAAAATATACATTTCACTAACTCAACACTATAATGTGGAAATTTTAACTAATATACAAGTTCAAATGGACATAATTATTTGGTACATATTATCATTGCTTTCGTTGCCTCAGGGGTTCCTGTCTCCTTTGTATAACATACTTTAAACATGTGAGCACGAGTTGGAGAGTGTCCCAACTTATTTTTCTACAAAATAATATATTCCAAAATATAAATTATATTATTATGTCACATTATGTATACCTTATCATATTAAATATACAACATGAAAAGATGAATTAATCTGCTCCTTTCAAACACATGGAAAACTTTTTGTTCCGGTAGTATGATTATACTTTCGCTCTGCACAACTTGTTTTGTTTTTATCACTTTGGGCCTAAAATTACAAATGCATAAATTAATGGTGTCCAAACTACAGCAAGTAAAATAACAAATAATGATCAGATCGAGTATACCTTTACTTCTTCGATGACCCAATACTTAATAAGGTGTTCCCACTGATCAGCATATACTCTACTATCTTTATAATGCTTTTGTTCGTCAAAACTCAAGTGGTTCTTATAATAATTTTTCTTTATGTTTGCCTGCCAGTCTTTTAACTTCTTACCAGAGCACTTCATAACCCAGTTCTTAACATGACTTGGAAGATCAAACTTTGACTGAGAAGAGAGAGAGAGAGAGAGAGAGAGAAGAATACAATAATAAAAAATTAATCTTCCCACATAAAAAATTAAAAATAAAAAAATTTATAAAGAGTGTTGTTTTAATCACATTACTCATGTTTACTATTTTTCACATGCGAGCATCTTTCGCACAATATTGTGTCATTTACCTGTACAAGTGTCCATATGTGATCTTTGTAATGTTCTAGGACTTTATGCCAATTCTTGTAAGTGAGTGGTGCATTTTTCCCATCACGCACAATAGTTCCAATGAATAATGATAACCTTGTTGCCAATTTGTCATCAGGTTGGCCAAGTTTGTTCCAATTGACTGTTAGGCGCTCATCATCACGAGTACCCCAAATATTACGCATTTGCGTGAGAACTCTAGTTTTCTTTTGTCCACTAGCACCATCTAGTTATAAAAAATAAATAAATAATAATACTAATAATAAATTATATAGGAAGAAATAATAACATTTTTATACCGGCAATTGTGTGATGTGCAACTGCGATGCTTCAAACAATTGGACGTAAGTGTCCCATTACCGATAATTTTAAGTGTACAAAATTTGATCATAGATCTAGGCACAATTGTGATCGAATTTTGTGCACACGTAGAAGAACTAATCTCATTACTTGTAAACTTAATTTCTCGTCTTTGTTAACTTGTCATTTCTTCCAAAATATGATAATACGTCATTTTTTTCTTGCTCATGTCATGTCCTCAGATTACAATGTAAGTCGTCCCAACTTAATTCATCCATCTGGACAACTTGCCCTTCTATGCAATGCCAAGGTGTAGAAAATTCACACCTGGGAAACACCACATCTTCAGGTTGTAATCGCACGACTTGTGCCTATGCCGATTACACTAACCAAACCAGCCTAACAATCCTTGCCCAAGACTTCACTTGTCCAGGTAACTCTACTATTCCTCATGTGAGGTGATGCACCATTCTAATTTAGAAATTATATTCTATAAATGTGGAATTATAATGACTTCTTGTTGTTGTTGCTGCTGAACAGTTTCAAATAATAACAATGCTTCAAGTTCAATTTGCAAGGTTGGAGTTGGAGCTTCATTCTCATCCTTGTCCAATTGGTGTTGCTCTTTCATCATTTTATTCATTGAAAACGAAATTACTGTTTTTCCTTCCCCTTAAATGTCTCTTTTTGGCCATCCCCCCCACACCCAATGGTGATAGACACTACAACAAAATTGACTTTTTACGGCACCACATCAACGACATATAATGAATGCAGGCTGTAATTTCTCACTTTTACGACTTATTTTTTTTGCATGTCGTAAATAATATACTAACCACGGCGCGTCTATTGTGCATGTCGTTAATAGTAAAAATGATAATTTTTTTACGACTTGTAATATTAATTATAAATAATAAAATTTTATATAATATACATATGATATACCGTTAATACATTAATTATATACGACATGCGTATACCGGTCGTTAAAAATAAATCACCTTTTACGGCTTATCATGTGTGTCGTGAATAGTATGCCCAAAAAATTTGAGGCGCCAAAACCCAATATTGTGGCGCCACTTATCCCCAAAAAAAAATAAAAAAAAATAAACGCTTTGGTTTCTGAAAAATGAAAAAACAGAGTTTCTAGGAAGAGAGGGAGAAGAAAGACGTATACAGGTGAAGGGGAAAGGGTTCTTTAAACACTTGGTCTTCAATCAATTGGATCGGTGGAGATCGAGACGCATGGCAGTCGGTTGATGCAGTCCGCTTTTTTCCTCAACAAAGCAATCACGCTTTCCATTGAATCAATTTGTAATCTGCTTCGACTTGGACTTGGCTTCAATTTCTGATTCCATCCGTTCAATTGAATCAATTTGTAAGGCACTCTCTCTTCCTTCTTCCTAAAACCCTTGTTTCGTCCCTCTTTCTCTCTCGGTATGTGTATATATATATTTTTATATACCCCTTCTCCCTTCCCTTCTCTGTTTTTCTCCTCTTTTTTTCTCTTCTCTTCTCTCTATACATACATACATACACCTTCTATATCTATCTACATTTTTGGGGTTTTTGTTCTCTGCCTTTTTCACTTTTTTTTATGGTTTTGGTTTTGATTTTGATTTTTTTGTGGATTGTTGTTTTTGCTCTTGGTGCCCTTGTTCATGGAAATTTGGTTTTTTTTTTTTTAAATTTTTTTTTTATTGTTGTCTGTCACATAGGACTATTTTGTAGTTGTATTGTCTTTTCTTAACATAAATTTCTGTTTTATGCTTCCTCAATCTTCGTTTGGTTAAGTTACTGAGGTAGAAAAGACCGATCAGAGATTGGGTTGTCAAAATATTATCATATTAGGACTTGTCTTTGTTCATGGAAACTTGATTTTATTCTTTCATAGGACGAGTTCTTTTTTTATGTGTTTTTTTGTTTTTCACTTCTATTGTCTTTCCTTGGCCAAATTTCTGTTTTATGCTTCCTCGATCTTCGTTTGGTTAGGTGGATGAGGTAGATTTTCGAAATGCACTCAAGGTGTTTGAAGGAAAGACTGATTAGAAGTTGGGTTCTCAAAATATTGTCATATTAGGATTTTTCATTTATTGTTAATGGAATGTATGAAATTGATTCAATATGAGTAGTGTAACTCTTGTTAACAAGGGTTGCTAATGTGAGAGAATATTCACATGGGTGTTCGAGTTTAAGGGGAAAAATAGAATAAAATGGGGGATAAATATTTTTTAATGTGTGTTTTATGAACCTGACTGATATGCCAAAAGACTTAGATGCAACTCTTGAGATCAAGTCTTGTAATTCTTTCAGCTGTAACATACAATCACACTTCTACAATTGTTGTAGCTCTCACCTTAGGTAGCTTTCACCTGCGCGAAAAGAAGCATATTTTTACTTTTGGATTTTACCATAATTTGTTGGAAGCTGAGTTTTTCTATTGTAGTTTATGTCTAACAGCAAACCCATGTGATGCATGAGTTGAATTGTGAAAATGAAATTATTTCTTGAAAAATTTAAACACTATTATGCATATGAAGGTAAGAAATTAGTTTTAGTAGAGTGCAAAATTTGGAATTATAATTTAATGAACAATTAGAACATTTTTTGTGTTATTTATTGCTAGCATATGGATTTTCAATTTCTCATGTTTTAAAGATAGGAAAGGAGGATAACATGCTTTCTTCTTTACATCATTTTCTTGCTAAACATCTTTCTGATTGGAAAATCTAAATTCTTCAGTTTTTGTAACATATGTGTGTGTGTGTGTGTGTGTGTGTGTGTGTGTGTGTGTGTGTGTGTGTGTGTGTGTGTGTGTGTGTGTGTGTGTGTGTGTGTGTGTGTGTGTGTGTGTGTGTGTGTGTGTGTGTGTGTGTGTGTGTGTGTGTGTGTGTGTGTGTGAGAGAGAGAGAGAGAGAGAGAGAGAGAGAGAGAGAGAAAATATCTCATGTTTGAAAGAGAGGAAAGGAGGATAACATACTTTATTCTTTACGTCATTTTCTTGCTAAACATCTTTCTGATTGGGAAATCTAAATTCTTCAGTTTTTGTAGCCCATTCTCTCATTATTCCTTCACAAACTGTGATTGATCCAAAGGAAGTGAAGAATTGCGCTTGCTTTGTCACAGCATTGTGTTCCGCCCTTTTGTTATTTTTTGGTACAAATATTGGTCTTATAGTTTAGGTTTACTACCTCGAGACAATTAGGTATTTTCAACATGGGCAAAGCATCAAGGGATAAGAGGGTGAGTTTGTTTGTTTATGTTTGAATTTCTTTTTTACCATTTCTGGGGTTGTCTGATGTTCGACTTCTAATTATGGGTGGATTTGCTCACAGGATATCTACTACCAAAAAGCAAAAGAAGAGGGTTGGCGTGCTCGAAGTGCCTTCAAGCTCCTTCAAATTGATGAAGAATTGAACATATTTGAAGGTACTACACTAATCTTACTAATGTTGATTTATTTCCATCCTTAATATGGCGGGGTATTAAATTATTAGGGACTGGGCTCTTTTTATTAGCTGGATCAAACATTGTCCGTTCTTTTTTTTCTCCAATTGTTTTACATTATGAAGGAATTCCCTGGTGCAGTTTTACTACAAACGGGGACTGATTATGCTTTATTAAGTTAAAAGTAGTTTCTCAAAATGATAAATAATGTCTTCCTTTTCTTCTAAGAGAATATTTTATTAAGGATAACAGCAAAATATTTTCACTTAGTGCAAAATGTAGACTTTAATTTTGTATTTTTCATCAATAGGAAACCATGGAAACTTATTTTCTAATATATATATATTTTTTTCTGTTATCTATTCATCTGTGGTTCCATTTTCTTGGTTATGATTCCATAAACCTTCTCACCTTTTGCTGTTTGGTTGATACAAATATTATTTGCAGGAGTGAAGCATGTGGTGGATCTATGTGCAGCGCCTGGTAGCTGGAGTCAGGTAACTGCCATTTCAAGTTTTACTGTGGAGGAACTTTTGACCCTTTTTTTTTTTAAAAATGATGTGTCCAATGGTGACGGAGAAATATAGATCGCTTCTTTATTATATTTGATTTGCTATCAACTAGTTTGAGCAGATCAAGATTTCATGCTGAAATGTCATAGCTCTAACATGGTTTGATGCTTTGTTTTGTTTCTATACCATTTTACCTGCATGACATGGCAGAAATGGGATACGTGCTTGAGCCTGTTCCAAATTCACTAGAAATAGTATACAGATTTGATAATTTCAGTCTTTGACAATCTTCAGTAGACAATTTTGTTTAACTTTTGTACACTTATTGTGTTGAAGACTGGACAGTAATGATGAAAATGCCAATGGTCTATGTTCTCCCGCCTGCCAATAAATCAACAAAAAACTGAAAAACAATGGCTGAAGAGGACAACATATTTACCTTGTGTTCTTTCTGTTTGAGGTAGATATATACATAGCATTTTTGTGCAATCTCTGATACTTCAGCTCTAAAATGTACATTAATGTTGACGTACATTTTAGAATTATTGTTGGCACCACTGTTGATAAGGTCAACTTAAGGTTAGTAAGTGTATTTGAGCAAATGGGTGGGTCCCTAAGTTTTAAGTTCAGTTCTTAGTAGAGATTTTGGAACTTTTCTTCTAATACACAGAATCTATGAAAGAATTGTCATAGGCTTTTAACAGTTAGATGGGAGCAGCCTTAGGTTGTTTTTTCAGAAGCTTTTGGATTTGCTTAATTCATTAACATAATGGAAAATAAATTCAAGGAAAATAAGGTGTGACATTAATATTATTGGCAAGGTTTTAGGCTGCCCTTCAATTTTTTATGTTCTTTTTGAAAACCATATGTAGCTGACTTGAATAACTTTATGATTAAAAAATATCTAAGTTTGTTGAATAGGTTCTTCCTTTGTTTTCCTACAAGAAACTTCGGTGTGGTTGGGGATTGAAGTGCTTTTTCATTCTACATTTCCTTGTCTTAGCAAGAAGATGAACCTGTAAGGGACAGTTTTTATTTTTATTTTTTATATAAATCTTAAGCAAGCCTTCTTCAAAGGAGGTCTATCATTGCTAATGAAGTTACTATATTGTGCCATTCTCTTTAAATATTTGTAGTTTTTTGGGGCATAGATGTTTAATTATCATTAAGGGAAAGAAAATATACATACTTTTTATATCACTAAAATTGTGAGATCGGTTGCAATCGTTAATTGTACATTTTTGAATGTCCACTTAAATTGGTCAATCTAAACTGATAATCCAAGTGAGCGGTATTCGCAATCAATTTGTTGACTTGTTCCATCTCACATACTATTTACTTAAAGCTGCCACTTGTAGAAATTAATTATTTAGGTATAAATACACGAAAACAAATATGCAAGTTAACATAAGCATTGCATATACTCTTTTTCTTAGTCCTTTGTCGAGTAAAATTGAGTTGTAACTTGTAAGGGTTTAAGTGATGGTTGAAATTACACTATTGTTTCAAAGTCATGATTGAGCATCAAAATATCAGAATAAAGTGCACCAGTGTTTAAATAAAGTTACTGAGGAATTGCTGTATCGAATGGCATTTCAAAACTCATAATAGGTTCTAATGGTAGAAAGGGGGCATGTTTTGGTGGAGGCCATATGTTTATTGCAAACTTTGTTGATTTTGTTGTGGAGCAGACTGCCTCTAAATCATTCATAATTTGATGTTTTAAATTATGAAAATCTCTCGCTTTTTTTGGTTTTTTTTTTTTTTTTTTTTGGTTCTATTCTGTTTTTTCCCTCAGATTTTCCTTCTCTTCTGACTTTTTTATCAATGGCACAGATTGAAAAGCCTTTACAAAGACATGGTGGGAGGCTTGAACACAATGAGACATATTGTGGTTCATGCTATGGTGCGGAAGTGGTATGTTTTTCTATGGCCTTGTGTGTCATTGCTAAGTTGAATACTTAATTCTGAAGTTTATACAAGAAATTTTCATAAGAGTTATGGATTATTGAGCTGGACATATTCAGTTCGTTTCTGTGTCTATTTAATTTGGAAGAAACATCTTCTTACTTTGGAGCAATTTTGAATAATTCTTAAGAAACACAGATATGTATAAACAGGATACAGATACAACACGATATAGGCATGTCAAATGTAGGACACAGGCTTTGGTACAACTAAATATATATTTACAACAATATGGCTTGGAAAATTTCCATAATTTTAACATTTACCTCCTTGGTTCAAGTTATGACAAAAGTCTTGGGTTTATTATATATCCAGGTAAATTGCTCTTGTTAGTTTAGTTATTAAGCATTACCGTTAAATTTATTATTTATTTTTGTACACTGGTTTTGACATTCATTATATTATGTTGTGCAAACTCAACCCATACAGTGAAAGAAGTTTCTGTTTCTGTTGCTCATCGATTTTCCCCAATTCTTGCTATTTTGCAGTCAGATGATGATTGTTGCAACTCTTGTGATGAAATTCGTGAATTATATAGAAAGAAAGGTGATAAGTGATCTCTGTATGACACGAGAACTGCAATATGGTGATAAGTGAAATCAAAATGACAAAATCAAAATATGATTTTATCTCTGAAATTTTGAAATATCTTTCACCTTCTTTCTTCCCTATCTAGGAACTTTCTTTGTCTCTCTAGATGGATTAAAGGCTCTTAATGACCATTACCAACATATTTGGTTCAACCTCCATTTTAATTTTTTCTACCAAAATTTGAGTGTGTAATGAAGGCCAAATTAGCTTCTATAATATTATTTATTGGCTTCTCAAAAAGGAATTTCCTTTTCTACTTCTCATTCCATGATTTTGTTTATTACTTTTGATAAGAATGAGAATGTTTGGTTAAAAGTTGGTCTAAGAAGGTGGTGCACGTGTACAGTGAGTTTTGTCTTCTTACTAGTGTGTAGCTCTTCCTGAAGGTCACATTTTTGTAGTTTCTCAAATGGACAAGTATATGTTAGTAATGGTTCATGTTATTTAGATGTTGCTCAATGTGACCTTGGATACATGAAGTACCCCTGCCAATTCATTTGGGAAATCACAAGTTTATGCTCTATGTATTTTTTTGTTGTAAAATATTACAGCTTTTATAGCTACTATAACTTGCAATGTGATCTGATGATGTTAATGTGTAGGAACCAATTCCTGTCACTCAACTTGTAAGGAAAACTGCTTCTGTTATGTAGGAGTTCACATAGTCAGGGTAAGTGCTTTCTATCAGTTTACATCTCATATTGTTTATCTTCTTGGCTAGAAATCTTGACTATTGTTAACTTAAATTTCTCAGAATCGTAACATGTGAGGTGCATTTGCCTAACAGATGGTTCAGATGATGAGTATGAACCCAATAGTAGCAGTGACGATGATGATAGTGATGGCTAGTTTTTGAGGATTTTGATGAATAGATTTCTATAATCTTTAAATAGTTTTGGATTTTGTTTACAAACTTGTATATGATACAATTTTGGATGGTTTTTAACTTTTTTGTTGAATTTAGAACTAAAAGATAGTCTTTTTGGGTTGTTTTGAACTTACGGTTAATTTTTGGATGTTTGTAATGTATTGACAATTTTTGAACGTTTAGGGTGTGTTTGGTAACGTTTACGTTTTCAGTTTATATTTATAAAAATTTTATAAATTGGTTTTTGTTTACTTTTTGTTTATTTTTAGAAAAACATAAACTACAAACGCGTTTGGTAATTGACAAAATATTTAAAAAAATTTAAAAATATAAAAAAGAGTGATTGATCGCTCTTTTTCTTCTTTATCGTGAGCTCAGTTTAATAGAGAAGTAAAGACTAAGGTTTAAATATCCTAGGGTTCATTTATCCTCTATGAATAAAGGAAATCCCAAGTTAAGGAAAAGATCCTCGACGTCCTCCTTCGTCTACATCTATTGAGCTTAGTGCCTAAGTCTCCCTTATCTCCACCTGTGGATAAGGGTTTAGCTGTTAATATAGTAATAGAGCTTAAAGGCCTTAAAGGCTGGGTCGTGTGGTCTTTCATGAAGAAGTGGAAAGCTTGCCCTTTTCTGTTTGTCCTGAAAGTTGAGAAAAGGTCTCTCGAGCTAGGTTTCTAAGCTTCAAGTCTATGGGAGAGCTAGGATTAGGCTAAGAGGTGCTTGTACTTCCGTCCAAAGCACGAAGAAGAAGAGACTACCATCCAGGAATAAGAAAGATTGAGTGTATGGAATTGTTAAACCTCGGGTATTGGAGTCTAGAAAGTCCCGTTGCCACAGATATGAAAGACTATCTTTTTTGCTTAAATGGAGTTTCCCCTCCGTGGAGTGGGATCAAAAGGCTACGCTCCTTTCAAAAACACCATTTTTGGGGCTTCAAAAGAGCTCTTTAAGCAATACACAAATGTTTAAAGCGCTAAGGATTCAATCCAGCCAATAATTGGCTACCCTGTTACAAAGTGACCACCCAACTTCTAAGATGGAAGGGCTCCATTCTAGATCATCTTCTAGAAGCATATAACAAACTAAACCCCACCTTCATCGAAGGCATGTTCGAGGAGGAGCCCTTTTTCACTCTTGCTATAATCACTTCAACTGCGGTATAGTGGTATGGAAAAACCTTATGTATAAAGTTCGAAATGGTGAATTGAGGTAGAGTAGACCGATGATCCTATAGTCATTTGGCCTTCTCATTAAGAGACTTTAACAATTCTTGAAAGAGGCCTTGTATTCTTTGAATATTTTGACCTCTTTAAAGAGGCCTAGTAGCTCCTTCGTTGATTTAGAGCTAGACCCCACCTCTAGCTCTTCCTGGGCCAGTCGCTTTGCCAAAGCCGAATAATCCAAACTTGGAAAGTGGATTTAGGGAAAGCGTTTGGTAACACTAGGTCGATTACAGTACGCACGAGGGCGAGCTTTAATGCTAGCTTCAATGCCTCGATCCTTTTTTTTGTAGGGGGCGTCTCTAGCCCCCTGCGCTCCTCCTGCTCGTGAGCCAGATGAGATGATGATGCGTGGGCCTGCGCCTCTTGAGAGAGGGGCGATTGTGCATGCACATCGTGGTCCTGCGGAAGCCCCTCTTGAACCCCCCCTAAAAAGGGAGCTACCGCCTCGAACAATTCCATTAATGGGAAAGTCATTGTTGATTGTTCAATTTCCAGTTTCTATAGAATGAGCACTGTGAATTCATCCCTACCATCTCTTCTTACGAAAGTGTTTCCATCCTGTCTCTGAAAGTTTTGCAATATCTGTGGCCCTGTTTCAAAGCCCCAGAAAACCCCCTTACTCTCTCTATAAAAAAAGCCCTTTTCCCTTTTAATAAAAAGAAGGTAAGCTTTGAAAAGTAACACGCTCCTGGGGGGATGTACAAAGGAAAGAGCTATGTATTCATTAAATGAATTATTTCGTCATGGTATAGATGCTAATAATAATGTTACTGGTAATGAGAAGAAAGATAATGCTAATACAGTCATAATTGCAGTCTCGACACAGCCTATTTCGAGACTGGGATGAAAGATTTGAGTTCCATAGTCTTTCAAGCATCTATTGTACTCACGCCTTCGGCCTCTATTCGAAACTTCTTCCTCGGCTTTTGACAATAATAAGAGAACATAATCTGTTAACTCTTTTGTTATATGCCCTATACCCACCCAATTTCTTTGGTAGATCCTAACACGAATTATGTACACAATGAGGATCACAATCATTGATACAGTTTGGATACCAAGCTATCTTATCAATATATTTACAAAAAAGCCTTGTGGAGGACCTCGGGGTAGAGCGGTAGGAATTTAGGACCTCTTAATTTAGCTTGTAAATGCTGCTCGATTAGACCAGACCCATTCTTCTGGATCTTCATTAGATGAGAGAACCTCTGTTACATAATTGAGAATGCTGAACTTCTAGAGCTCTTTTTCGAATAATCAAGCTTGTTTGTCTCTAATGCGAATGAGGAATGCTAGTTCAAAATCAATAATTTATGGATGTAGTTTATTTTTTATGCTTGAAACAATATTTTGATAGTTGATTGATATTTTGTGAAGCTTGTTTGTAATGTTTGTTAGATTATACAAAACAAATTAAAATAGAACCTACTGAATTAAAAATAAATAAATAATACACATTCTACGACAAGCAAATTAGGTCATTATATGAAATAGTCCACGACATTCCATGTACGTCGTGATATGTTCTACTTATTTACGACAGGCATAATAAGTCGTTGTATTATATATTTTACAATGCGCAATTAGCATTGTTATTTGTCTAATCAATTTACGGCCTGCAAAAGTAGACATAGAAAAAGTAACGACGACGCACAAAATCTGTCGTTAAATAGTTTTTAACGACGTATTATAGCATGTCGTAGAAAAAGTAACGACGACGTACAAAATCTGTCGTTAAATAGTTGTTAGCGGTGTACGAAACATGCTGAAAGTAAATGACTTTTCATGACTGGTCATAATATGACGCGCGCTTGCACTTCGTAGAAGGATTTTTACGACGTGCATTGTGCGTCGTAAAAATCTTTTTTTGTTGTAGTGAGACATTGTAATGTATGAATAAATTTGTTAAATGTAAGACCTTTTGATTTGTAATTGAAGATTGTAGGATGGTATATAATGAAAAATAAAAGTAATTGCAAAGGATAAGTGATATTTTTGTGTGGGGTATATAAGCCCACGTAAATTATATTGTAATGCATTATAAAAACCCTTGAGCTAAGCTTGTAGTGTATATAAGCCCGCTTAAATATATTGGATCATTGACACATATGATAAGGTGAGTAGGGATTTTTCACTTGCTCGTAAAAGGTAGAGTAATAAATTTATACGAACTTTATAGGTGTGGTTTGGCAACTTTTATAATTTATAATTTATTCTTTTACAAAAAAATAGTAAATATGTTTATATATTTTTTTTAGTAAAAATGAAAATGAAAAACGTGTTTGATATGTATTATAAATTTTTTTTCCTTAAAATAAGTGAGAAGTGGTGGTCTGAGATGGTTGTTGGTGAAGATGGCGGACAAAGATAATTGTCGATAATCAAGGATGATGTCTAAATGTGATTTCCAACTGTTGAAGGTTGTGGTTTATGGAAAGAGGTGGTTACTAGCAGTAAAAGTGATTTTCTTAAGTGAGTGCCGATGATAGTAGCGAGAGGGGGATAATTATTTAGTAATTTCGAAATATGGATATGTAGTATTTCATAATATTATGATTGGTGGAGAAGGTGGGTAGGTGAAAAATTGTGTTGGGTGATTGAGGAATGTGAGGGATATATTGAATGATGATTGGTTAAGGAGTACAGACACGTGATACTCCGAAAATATTGAATAATTTTTTAAAGAGCGGTAGAACACCGGATGCGTTGTCTCATAATGGTGATTACATGTTGATTTATAATTTTTTTTCAAAATTTCAATAGAGTTGATCATTATAAACATGATAGTGAAGAAATGTACTGTGAGAATAGGATTTTTTTTTTATTTATAATAATTTGTTGGAGTGGGCGGGGAGATACATTGTTGACTAACAAAGCACACCATTAAAGTTACTTATTAAATCCACTTTTAATTAATTATTTTCAATCTAAGTAGTTTTGAATTTATTTGCCAAATCTACATTGTTTATTGAAGTCGTTCTTTCACTTTTAAAAACATGAACTTCATGAAATAATGTAATTAAAAAAATAAGTTTAAAACTGATGATACTGTGTGTCTCCGACGGAATGGGTCGGTTTGATCCAAGCTTTCCAAACTGATACCCGAGATACCAAACCCTCGGGGAGACATGCACAAAAGTTCAATGGGGAACGGGGAGTCCTCCTGCGAACCCTCCGACGAGCAAGTTAGAAAGAGAGAGATGGAATGTGGAGATAGATTAGTGATAGAGAAGCTTAACCTTTTGCCTTGTCTTCGAAACCCGCTTATATCCTCTACTAATCATTTCCTTGTCCCTTCCGACTTGTCACGTTGGCCGAAAGTCTATGTTCTAGCTTGGCTTGTTCATGGTGAGGCCGTTCTGTTCTGATGGGGAGGGGTTATCGCAATAAATGCTGTAGGAAACCTCATTAATGGCTGATGTGTGGTGTAATAACTTTACAGGATCTTTGTCTGGCGATGTGGCTGGTTCTACTCTTGACAGCTGTCTAGATGTCATTGATTTTTAATGTCACGTTGAGCTCCAGCACTGTTGGACTTTGGTGTTTGAATTATATATTAGGCTTCAAGTGATGGGCCAAACGCTCCCACCTATGTCAAAAATTATTCAAATATAATAAATAAATTTTAAATGAACATAAATTTGATTAAAAAAAACTCCACAAGAAAGTACTTGCATTTAGAAAATAGATTTTAAATGAACATTGATTTGGTAATTTTTATTTTTAGTTTTATTTTTATTTATTGGTAAGGGGGCAATTAAATAGAAATTTTTGATAAAAAAAATCTTCATCATCATCAAGGGGGGACTCCACAATCAGGCAAAGTAAGATACCATTGTCATAACTGTACCAATTATCGATGAGTCTAGGCACAAAAATTATTTACGGTATATATATTTGTGACAGTCACGTTACAGTCATAAATTATCATTGTCATGACTCACATACTTGAGCACTG